CTTCTCACCCCGGCCCCTCACCCCTGCCCCTCTGCCCCTGCCCCTCACCCGGCCCCTCTGCCCCCACCCCTGCCCCTCCCCCTGGGAAGCGGCCCCTCCTAGGAAGGGGCATTTCAGCCAGGGCCCGGGAGCCAGCCCTCTGAACCAGGCGTCTGGGAGCCGAGGTGGGGAGGGGTGAGGTGGGAGCTGGGTGAGGTTGGGGACAGGTGAGAGGGGGGTCTGGAAGCCTCTGACTCTTGTGGAACCCACGTTTGTGCCTGTTCAGTGGCCCACAGACGTGAGACACGGTGGGCTCGACACTGGGCTGAGAGCACTGGGTGGGGAGCACCTTGGCGTCGTGGGTGTTACCCTCACCAAGAGTGAGTGCCCCAGGGGCCAGGCCTTCCCTGGTGAGGGGCTGGCTCCCCTCGGGGTGGGCAGAGCTGGCGCCTCAGGGCCATCGCAGCACCCTCTGACTCCCCCTGTCCCCATCATGTCCTTGTGCCTGGCCAGGAGGCAGCTGCAAAGTGAGTGCAGATCCCAGGTTCCGTGCCCCGCCCTTGCGGTGTGCGGCCCTGAGCACTTTCAGGAGAGTCCCCTGAGATCCGTGGGGCCTGGTCCCGAGCTGGGTCTGTGCATCTCCCTGTCCTGGGCGTCCTGACCTCCTGGGGGCTCAAGGTGGGCTCGGCTCCATCCCTCACTGCCTTGCCCTCCGAAGTCTCCTGGTCAGAAAACAGCCCTCTCCAGGCAGAACTCCACGGGGCCCTCGTGCCGCTCCGTGTGGCAGCTGCCCACACGCTCACACACGCACACGCAGCCACAGTGGCCGCAGATCCAAGGGCCCGGGCGCCCGCTGTCCCCAACAGGAGACGAGCCTCAAGCCGCTCCCCGGGGAGGCTGGCCTGGCTGGGCCCAGAGCTGCGGGCACTGCGTCCCGCTGGGCGACAGGCACATATTCTCTGTCGGAGCACCGGCAGCGCCTGTTCTGCGGGTGCCGCACGTTGGGGTGTGAGTCGCTGGCAGAGAAGCAGGTGCGTCGCCAGCCTCCCACACGCGGAGCCTGAAGCACAGGGACACGGGGACTGAAGCTCACCCGTGTGGAAATCACGCCAGCCCAGCCCCACCCGACATGCCTGTAGGTCCCGGGCGCTGACCTGATCGTGAGATGCAGCTGAGGGGCACATGAGGTGGCCCGGGCGGCTCCTCCAGGAGCGGAGACGCTGTCAGCACCGAGGCCGGAGAGATCTGGGTCCCGCTGGAACAGAGGTAGGTGCTCCTTGTAAAGTGCACACACACACTCACACTCACACTCTCACACGTACACACACTCACACACTCACACTCACACATGCTCCCACATGCTCACACTCACACTCTCAAACTTACACACACTCACATACAACCACCCACAGTCACACACACTCACACTCACACACTTACAATCACCCACACTCACACACTATCACCCACATTCACACTCACACACTCACAGTCACACACTCTCACACTCACACACACTCACGCACTCATATACACACATATACACACTCACACACACTCACAATCACCCACACTCACCCGCACTCAGACACACATACTCTCACACTCACACACTCACAAACACACACTCACACTCACACACTCATGTACACACATATAAACACTCACACACACTCAAATACACTAAAATTCACACACATGCACTCACGCTCACACACTCACATTTGCACATTCACGCACTCCCATCTCATCACTTACACACCCACCTACACACTCACACAACTCACACACATATGCACACTCACACATGTACACACTCACAAGTTCACACATTCACACACTCATAGACACTCATGCACACAGTCACACACTCAGTTTCACACACTCACATGCACATACACACAGTCACAACCTCACATACACTCATGCACAGTCACACACACAGCCATACTCACACATGCTCACACCAACCATCCACACATCCACACACACACCCGTGCTCACAGATTCAAGGTGGGAGATGAACACGGTTTAAACATGCGTGATGAGAATGGATGTCTGAAACTTAACCATGAATAACTTTCAAAACCACGGTGTCTTCATGAAAAAAAAATAATAAAAGGACATCATGGAAGAAATAAGGAAATTTCTTAATCAAGAAATGAATGAGTTCTTGACCAGGATCACGTGTCTGATGTGGGCGTCCCTATTGCTAATTCGGAGGGATTAAAATGAGTCATTTCCGGGGCTGGAGCAATAGCACAGCAGGTAGGGAGTTTGCCTTGCACGCGGCCGATCCGGGTTCGATTCCCAGCATCCCATACAGTCCCCTGAGCACCGCCAGGAGTAATTCCTGAGTGCAGAGCCAGGAGGAACCCCTGAGCATCGCCGGGTGTGATGCAAAAAACAAAAAAATATGAGTCATTTTCTTCACTCCCTCGTCTGGGCGTGAGGATCAGGAGACCCGGCATCGGCCCCTCCAGGGGGCTCCAGGGACCCCGACGAGGCTCGGGTGCAGCTCTCTGGCTGGAACCCTGAGCCCGCCATGGCGTCTCTGCGGGGGGCTGCACCCGCCCTCTGCCCAGCTTCCAAGCCCAGTGACGACCCCAAGACGGGTCGGTGGGGACCCAGGGCCTCTCCAGTTTGTTCCTGGGGCCCTGGGTGGCCCTTTGCAGCCCTGGGGGGCATGTGGGCAGCTGTCACCATCCCCTTGGTGCGGAGGTTGAGCACGAGCCCCTGGGGGCTTCTCAGGGCCACTGTGTCCCCCACATGCTTGTCCCTGCTGAGGCTCACCGATGGGGCCACCACTGACCAGCCTTCAGAAACCCGGCGGCCAGCCAGAGCTCGGGCACTGGGCTGGGCCGGTTGCTGCCCTGACCCGGGGGTCCCATTCCAGGTTTGGGGCCTCCAGGCCGATGCTGAGGGGCCGCTGGGCCTCTGTCCCCCACCCAGTCCTTTGGGGGTAGCACTACTAGCGGCCCTCGGGAGGAGCCGAGCCAAGGGGCTTTTGGGCATCACACTGACATGGTTCCTGTCTGAGCAGAGCCGCCGCCGTGCAGGGAACACGGTCCAGGCTCTCTGTGCTGGACACTCAGTCCATGTGCTTCCCCGTCCACTCCCGCAGCAGCTGGAGTCCAGAGGCCCATGGGCAGAGCATGCCTGGGCCTCCCTCCCCTCCCTCCCTCCCCTATCTCCCTCTCCCCCCCTCCCTTCTCGCCCTCTCCCTCCACCACTCTCTACCTATCCCTCCCTCCCTTCCTCTCACCCTCTCTCCTTCTCACTCTCTTCTTCTATCCCCTTCTCTCTCCCTCTCCCTCCCTCCTTATCCCCCCTCCTTTCTGTCTCTCTTCAGAGATCAATCCTTGCTGCTGTGACTATCAGTGTGACTATCACCCTGGGGTGTGGCCCGACACCCAGCTGGGAGGGACAAGGCCCTATCCCGTGCCCATCCCCATTCCCCTGTCCCCATGTCCCTGCCCCCATTTCCCCATGCCCGGAGCTGGCTGTCACTGGTGGCAGGTGGGGGGTGGGTGGGGTTCAGTCAGCAGTTGGGGTTCCGGGCAAACACCCAGCTCTAACCCCTCATCCGCCCGGCCCAGAGCAGAGCAGATGTGCTCCCTGCCTCACCCAATGCCCAGGTGCTCATGGAACAGGGGTTCGAGCCCACCAGTCACCCCAGGACACCCAGGAGTCCCCTGGGTCGGCGGGGTCGGGTCACGTGCCCTGACCATGACACCAAAGTCACATAAGGGTCCTCCTGGATGTGGTTCGCAGCCGAGACTTTCTCTCACGGGCTCCCTGGGCCGAGCTCAGGTCAGGTAAGAGCCCCCGAGGGTCCCCAAGATACTACCTTGGGGCCAGCCGTCCCCTCCCAACCTGGGGTTCAAGGACAAGACTGTGGGCCGAAGGTTTGAGCCTGGCAGGCCCCAGTGGCATTTGGGGTGCCAGATCCCCCGGGGTGGATGATAAAATTCCCCCAGGCCAACTTTATCAGAAGGTGACGGGAGGTGGTCCCCACATGGACCCCTTTGTCTGCAGGAGCAGGGGTGGAGCAACCCCAGACAGTGGTCCCTGGGGGTCCCAAGAGTGCCCACGTGCAGAGTGCCAGGGCCGTGGGGCCTGAGGCCGGGCTGGCAGGGCCGCGTGCGAGGACTCAGAGAAGACCACTGCCCCGCGTGATTGGCACTGGAGAATGTCTTTAATTCGGTCTATGTCTGTATAACACAAAGATGGCCAAGAATCCACCACCCCCACCCCCAGACCGGGGCTCGGCGGCCGAGGGGCGGCTTCTTCGAACGAGGAAACGGAAAGAGAGAGTAAGTGTGTGCGTGTATATATCTATTTATATGCCTGGGTAGAAAACGTGGCGGTCTCACGCCCGAAGCGGCCAGGCGGCGTGTCACGGAAGGGGCCCGTTGTGTGGTGGCTGGCTGCACACGGTCCCCGGGGCGGGGGAGGTGGCACTGGGTCAGCAGGTCCCCAGAGAAGCGGACACTCACTCTGGAACTGTAGTCCGATATATGCATATATATGTGCGTCGCCAAGGTAGAAAACACAGTCGATTCTGTTCGTACTAAGCGTGTGAAATAAATCAGCTCTTGGAACCGAGAACACATTTTTTTTTAAAAAGGAACGTGGAAGATCTTCAAAAATTGCTACAGTACAAAAAAAGTGTGTGTGTGTGTGTGCGCGTGTGTGCGTGTGCGCTTGTGTGCGTGTGTGTTTGTATTTATATATTTATATATGTATAGTAACCAGAAATAGCTTCCCCTGGGCGGAGCTCCGCGCCGCTTGCCGGGCGTCCTGGCGCGGCCGCGGGCTCCAGCGCCGCCTCCGGGTCGGTACATGGCACATAATGGTATTATTGGCACAGGCTCGAGTCTCGGTCCAGGCCGGGATCCGTGGGGCGGCGCCCCGCCTCGTCCTTTCCGATCCCTCCTCGCCTCCTTCCCTTTCGAGCAGTTCCCGCAGACGTGAACGTAGAAAAATAGATCTCGCCTCCCCGGCTGAGCTCCAGGGTTTGTGTTTATTGTAGTTTGTATTTTTACAGGTTCGCCGACGGGATCCTGGGGAGAGACAGGAAAAGAGTGAGGGGCGGCGGCCGGGTGGACGCCTCCGTCCACCCACCGGCCCCCCGAGGTACCACAGACAAGGAGGGACTGGACAGGGCCACTGGCTACGCACAGGAGCCGTGAGATGGGCAGGAGCGTCAGGGCTGCGCTGCCCCAGGCCTCTGGGACCCGAACATCTGGCAGATCCTCTCCACTCCCACCCCTGGGCAGTGGCACCGCCCCCTCAGCTGGGGGCCACATCAGGGACATGTGGACACTGACCCCCATGGCCCTGGGCTGGGGACACTGCAGGGAAGTCTTAGGGCCCGGCCCGGGTGTCCCCCGGATCTTGGGAACCCCAGGACCCGAGATCAGGAGTCCTGACCCCCACACTGACAGCTCTCTGATGGCATCGAGGGGGGTACACTGGCCCTCAGCCCTGCAGGGGACCCCTTAGGAAGGCACTGACGCCCCACAATGCTGGTGCTGCTCCTCTCGAACCCACTGGGGTTCCCGCCTGAGGCCCCTTGCTGGGTCCATCCCTGAGGCACCCCCCAACCCAGCCGCCCCTGCAGTGAGGGGGTGTGGCATGCAGAGGTACCCCCCCCCGCGCCCAGCCTTTTTGCGCACTCCAGGATGAAGGCCCATGGGGGTCTCTGCAGCATCCCACCATGAAGGTGGTGCCCAGCCAACTACAGGGCCGGGTGCCTGGCTGCCTGTGCTGCCCTGGGGCGGGGTCTCTTTGGGTGGGGGATCTGGGCTGGGAGGGAATCACCAGCTGTGGGAAGTGGCTGGTGCCCCCTGGGCCTTCTGGTGAAGGAGTTGGGGCCGAGTTGAGCGGCACACATTTTGCTAGTTTGAAAATGAAGAAAACGTCAATTTACAATGAAGGGGATGCTGGACGCAGACGCTGAGGGACCAACAGAGTCGGGGGCGCGTCAGGGTCGGGGGCGCATTTGGGAGGGGAGCATGGGGGGTTGGGGGGCCCCGGGGGTGCATGAGGGGGTGTGGTCGAGAGCCCCCAGGGAGGGCCTCCTGCCATAGTCGTTCAGCTTCATCCCTGGCTTCTCTCTGCCCTGCAGGCGGCTGAGCAGAGGGTCCCGCAGCCCCCACTCCCAGCCAGCCCAGCCTCTGTCCTGAGAACCCAGCGCCGAGGCCAGGTGCCATTTTTTTTTTTTTTTTTTTTTTTGCTTTTTGGGTCACACCTGGTGATGCTCAGGGCTTACTCCTGGCTCTGCACTCAGGAATTACTCCTGGCGGTGCTCGGGGGACCCTATGGGATGCTGGGAATCGAACCCGGGTCGGCTGCGTGCAAGGCAAATGCCCTCCCCACTGTGCTATCGTTCCAGCCCCTCAGGTGCCTTTTTTTTTGTTGTTTATGATTACAAGGATGATCCGTTGTGTCTTCACTGTGTTTTGAAAATAATAACATGATTCATTCCTCACCCGCTTCGGATTCAAGAACTTTTATTACTTCTCAGGCGCTGCTGGGATGAAGCAGCCACGACGGCTCGAGTACTAATGAGCTTCTCTGGGGTGGACTCGCGGCGAGGAGAACGGCAGGAAATGAGCTGCAGGCCAGCCACAGCCCGGGCAGCCGCGGCCAGCAGCAGCTCGGCCCAGCTGGAACCCACTGACCAGGCGGAGGCGGGGCGGGCAGCACATGGCCACAGACCCCGGGGAGGGGAGAGGCTGCTGGCCTGCCCGGGCTGGGGCGCCTCTGTCCAGGGTCTGGAGACCCCCCCCACTGGCCACGGGCCACCCCTGCCTGGTGGTGAGCAGCGGGTCCTCCCCGCCAAGTGGTTTGCAGGGACGCGAGCCTCACTAAGTGTCGTGTATTCATCACTATTTATGTGAGCAGCCCATAACGGGGGCCTCCCAGCGTGGGGGGGTGGGGGACGGTCAAGTGGCAACCTGCAGGGTGCGTGCGCCCACCTCAAGGGACATGCACTCTGTCCCCTCCCGCCCAAGGCTCCTCGGACACAGGGGAGGGCAGAAAAGCAAGACAGGGTCTCCTGCATGCCTCGGGGCGAGCTGCCCTGTCCACCGAGACTGTGCCTCAGTTTCCCTTCGCCCACCGTATGGGCTCCTGGTGCACTGCCGCCTGGATGTCCAAGGGGGGACACGTGCCAGCAGGGGCTCCCAAGTGCCTACGCCTTGGGGAAGGGGGCGGAGGTCCTGTTAGGGGCCCACACCTCCGACGTCAGGGGCCGAAACTTTTGTGCATTTTTCAAAACCTAATGGGGACGAGGGGGCTGGCCGGCTGGTCCCCGCAGGGCACACCCACAGGTGGACGCAGTGGGCACATGTGTGGACACACGCGAACTCCTGGTTGCCAGCAACCTAAGGGGTACCCGGGGGCCCTTCCAGGGCCCAGGCTACTGTGATCTCCGTGTGCCCAGGCGGGGCAGACCCAACGGTGCCTGCGTGCCCACCCTGTCCAGGGCCCCTGGACACCACCCGCCCAGCCTGTCGCTGGCTGACACAGGCTGTGCAGGCTGTTCTGACCCCGGACAGCAGTGAGGGCTGGCGAGAGTGGTGCCCAGTCAACCCTCGTCAGGGCTGGGACTGGGTACTAGCGGCTCCCCCACAGCTCGGACCCAGGGCTCCAGGGACCACGGGGGCTGCACCCAGGGCCTTTGACCAGCAGACCCGCCCCGACGACGCAGTCAGCAGTGCCCCAGGGTGTCGCCCTGTTCTGCAAGAGGTAAGATGGTCCCGCAAGGGGCGAGATGCGACCAGAGGGCAGAGGCCGACACAGACCAGCAGGTTCCCTGATGACGGGCAGCTCACGAGGGGCGACTCCGCGGCCGCGCCAAGCGCCCTCGGGGCTCTCGCCAGCTTCAGACCAGCCACGTCTGGGCCCTCGGCCCTCCCCTGGCCTGGGCATCCTTCTCACTGTTCTTTCTCACGGCTGCGTTTCAGTTCTGCCTCCTGGGCTCTCCCGCCGAGGCATCCAGGCGGGACGGAGATGTGTGAGTCTGTCTCGGGGACCGGCCAGCGGTTCCTTCCAGAGCCTTCTCTGGCCGGGCAGCCTGGTCCCCACCTGGTCCCTGCCTGTCTTTGCTTTTCTCTCGGGCTACACCCAGCAGTGCTCAGGGCTGACTCCCAGCCCAGTGCTCAGAGATCCCTAGGGGGTGTCAGGGATAGACTGTGGTGGGCCGCACAGGTGGTACTTGCCCCCGACTGCCTGGGGCTGCAGAGTTGGGCCGTCTCTCTCCCCTGTGCGGTTCCCCCCATGACAGGCCACACACATGCTCGGTCCCACACATCGTGTTCCCCTCCCCTGGCCACCCCCAGGGAAAGGGGGAAGTGGGGTACACACCATAAAGAGGATGCATGGCTTCTGCCCAGCCCCCGGGAGGTAAAAACACACGCCAGTCAGCAGGAGATCTCGAACCACTTCTCAGACACGAAGGCCACAGGGATCAGATGCCGGTCAGAGGGCGGCGGCCTGTGGGCAGGAAGGGAGGCTGCAGGCAGGGCCAGGCACATGGGCCACCCCTGGGGCCCCACGGGGCTGAGTGACCCCTTCTGCAGCAGTGACCCCTTCCCTCGGGGTCACCAGCCTGGGGTCAGCTCCCCGCCGCCCCGGGCTCAGTCCCAGGGGCAGGGCACGCCCGCAGGGCCCCAGATCCCAGCCCCTTGGAGGGGAGGAAGGCCTGTCCCCGGACATGCAGACCCACGGGCACAGCTGCTGCCCACCCCGGGCGCCCAGAGCCTCGCGGGGCGGAGGGGAGCAGGAACCCAGCACACCCCAGCTCGGAGCCACCCACGAGCCTGCCCCAGGCCTCTGTTTCCCAGTTTTGTACTTGTTTTGTTGGGAACCATACCCCACGGTGTGCAGGGCTGCTGCCAGGGGCTCTGCACCCACCACTCCCAGTGGGGCTCCGGGGACCCCACGGGGCGCTGGGGATGTAACCCGGGTAGAACGTGGGCAAGGCAAGTGCCTCCAACAGCCCAGTTGCTCCGGCCCCTTCCACGGAGGCTCTGAAACCCCTCTCTGCAGAGACTGTGGAAGGTGGGCAGGTCCACGCAGCACCCACTACGCACTGTGTGAAAGCAAGATGACAGCAGCTCCAAAGGGACTGGTCGAGCCTCCCATGCAGGGAAGGGGGTGTCCCGACAGCCTCCGCCAAAGTGAGGAGCACCTGGACAGACCCCCGCCATGCCAGGGACTGACCCACCATTTGAGGGACACACCTGCCACGTGGGGGACACACCTGCCACGTGAGGGGCAGACCCGTGGCTGGCTTGACCCCAGGGCTCCTTGCTAGCCCCGACCTCCTCCCATGCGCCCTGGGCGCCCCTGTCCTGGGCAGCGCCCACCCCGGCCCCTCACTCGCTGCCGCGGGCCGGGGGCTGTGACGCCGTGGGCCTGAGTGGACGGGGTCCCGGGTGCTGCGGGGGTCGCCCTGGCCGCGGGGTGGGGGGGGGCATCTCAGGGGCACCGGCCCTCGAGGCGTCTCAGGACGCAGGGCCCATCCCGGGCCGCGTCCACTCACCGGTTCCCGTTGAACGTGGACTTGAACTCGCCCACGGAGCGCAGCGTGTCGTCGGCGTAGACGGGCACGGAGGCGCGCACGCACTCGTGCGAGCACTGCAGCGTCTCGTTGTAGGCGGTGAAGACGTCCAGGGTGCTGGGCACGCGCGCGGGCGCGAAGTCCGTCAGGTTCTGGCAGCTCTCCTCCTGCTGCTGCAGCTTGCGCTGCCGGCTGCTGCGCCGCGCGTGCCCGCTCTGCGCGCAGCTGCGGGACAGGGACGTGCTGGGGCGCGTGCACGGGGGCGTGTGCACGGGGGCGCATGCTCGGGGCGCGTGCACTGGGGCGCGCACTCCGGAGCCCCTGCCTCGGGAGCGCGCGTGCTCGGGGTCGCGCCTCCCTCGAGAGCGCGTGCTTGGGGCGCATGTGCTCGGGGCCGCACCTACCTCGGGACGCATGTGCATGTCCCCCTTGCCCCCCCACCGCCCACGCACGCCCTGGACTGCGCATGCCCACGGGACCTCGCATCGTGTCCTTGGCCTGCTTGGGCCCCTCTGGATGGCCACCCTGGGACTGACCGGGCACTAATTAGCGTTTCCTACTAAGTGGTGAGTCTGGCCTCTGCGGGACCATCTACCACAGCCAAGCGACCGTCTTTTCCCTTTGTCCAGTGGCCTCGACATCGCAGGCGTCTGGGAGGGAGCAGGACAGAGGGGGACTGACTCGGTTGCCCCACGACGGCCTGTCTGAATTGGAGCCCATAGTTGCCAGGCAGGAGCCTCTAGGACAAGTTGGGGGTCCATCGTGCCGTGGGGTCCTGTCCATCCCTCAGGGCGCCCTTGTGCCTAGCCTAAGCCCCCAGGCCAGGCCAGGAGACACAGGAGCCCAGACTGGCCCAGGATGCCACACGGCAAAGTGGGCAGGAGCCAGGAGAAAAGGGGACCCCTCCTCACGCTCATGGGCAAGAGGGACCCCACGGGCCCAGCCTCACCTGCCTCCTGTGACAGGGGGACCCCCGGGGGCAGGGTGAAAGAAGAAAGAAAACCTGGACCCTGGGGTCATGGGCCCTTGTGCCAGGCTGTTCCGAAGGGCCTCTGCAGAGGGTCACCCTCCCACACCCAAGACCCCAGTGCTGACCTCTCCGTGACCCCAGTGCTGACCTCCCCGTGACCCCAGTGCTGACCTCCCCCAGTGACCCCAGTGCTAACCTTCCCATGACCTCAGTGTTAACCTCCTCATGACCCCAGTGCTGACCTCCCTGTGACCCCAGTGCTGACCTCCCTGTGACCCCAGTGCTGACCTCCCCGTGACCCCAGTGCTGACCTCCCCCAGTGACCCCAGTGCTAACCTTCCCATGACCTCAGTGTTGACCTCCTCATGACCCCAGTGCTGACCTCCCTGTGACCCCAGTGCTGACCTCTGTGGCTCAGGTGCTGACTTATCCCTATGACCCCTGCCCTGACCACACGACCCTAGCTTTGATCCTATGACCCCGGCACTGACCCCATGACCCTGGCAGGCACGTGGGCCCAGCAAGGGCGGCCAGGCGTGTCCCTGGGGTAACATCCCAGGGCCTGGTCCCCCGAGCGAGCGGCAGCTCCGTTGGAGGCTCTGGGCTGCGGAGGCGCCTGGGCTGGAAGGCGGCTGCCACCTGGCCAGCCCCGCGCGGGGGCAGCTCTGAGTCACGGCAGCCCTCGGCTTCCCCAGGTGTCTCAGGTGCTGCCCAGCGAGGCCCCAAAGTAGGCCGACTGCCGGGGAAGTGGCAGCCGGCCGCCGGGAGCCAGGAGCGACCTAGTTCCGCAGACTCAGCACTGGCAGGAGGACACAGGACGGAGACCGCGTGACTCAGCCGGGCCGAGATGGCCAGAGATGGCCAGAGACGGCCAGAGATGGCCAGAGGAGACAGCCAGAGGGGCCAAGGAGACAGGGATGAGGGGGAGCATCTGCAGGGGCTGGGCCTGGGGCAGTGGCCACGTGTCCTTACCAGTTCTTTAAGACAAGCGTCGTGACGAGAGCAGCGATGACCATGATGAGGGACACAGTGATGGTGACGATCTGGTGCACGGCCAGGCCTGCGGACACGGGCAGGAGTCAGCACAGCCCCGCCCCTCCCCACAGAGACACTGCCCCCATGGGTGGCCTGCAGGGACAGGAAGGACCCCGGGACTCAATGAGGGAGTAGGCAGAGCTGGTGTGGGGGTCCTGGCCCCAGGCTGCTGAGGGGGCTGCCTGAGGGGCAGAAAGGTGCAGAGGGCGGGGAGCCCCGGGCTGCGTTTCTCCTCTGGGGCGTCTCTGGCTGGTCCAGGGCTGCGTCTTTTGTCTGGGCAGGCCCTGGGAACTGCCACTCTAGAGGCCGCTGAGTGGTCAGCTCACTGCACATGGGGCACTCTCTTTCTGTCCCTCAGCTGCCCTCAGCCCATTTCATTCTCCTGGAACCAGCCCTCTGGTTCCTGCCCAGCTGTCCAGGGCTCGGGGTGCAACTCAGTTGATGCTGAGGCTGCAGGCCGCCCTTTAGGGCAGGGGCATCACCCTCTGCCTGCCGACGTGCCCTGTGTTCACAGGGAGCTCCGGAGCCAAGCGGACACACAGACGTTCCCTCTCCACTGATCGTGGAATCTGGGGACCTGCCCACGGCCAACGCGCCCTGGCACTGGGGACCGCGTCTGCAGGGACTCAAGCTCACACTGGCCCCGCAGGTCAGCGCAGGTGTGAATGCCAGGGCCTCCGTCCCCTCACGTTGACATCCGTGATGAAAAGCCACTTATTAAGGACCGACTGTGTGCAACCCCGGGACACGCGGGCAGGCCTCTCCCCTGCCAACGGCTCCCGTGCCTTTGCCCCCAGGGTGGCACCTGCCAAGAAGACCCTCCGGGCAAGTCTGTCTTCTCCTAAACAGCCAGGTCAGCCTGCCCGGGGGAAGTTGGTGATGGCACAAGGCCCGCTCTCCACAGTGACCCCCACCGTCCACTTCCTCTGACCCAGCAGCCGCCCAGTCAGCTGGAGAGGACTCATGGCTGGGAGCCGCGCAGGGCACTGTCCAGCCTCACCCACCACACAGCTGGACCTGGAGAAAGCCAGGTGCTCTCAGAGTGCGTGCCTGGCCAGTCTCAGTGACCATTGGGGAGAGGGTGGGAGGGCAAAGGACAGTGCTGGAGTCACAGTGGTGATGGTGTTGACAGCGCTGATGGTGATGGTGAGGGTGGCGGTAACTGTGATGGTGAGGGTGGTAATGATGGTGATTATGGTGATAATGATGGTGATGATGGAAATGGTCAAAGTGGTGCTGGTGCTAGTGGCAGTGGTAAATATGATGGTGCTGATGGTGATGCTAATGGTGGTGCTGATGGTGATGGTGGTGCTGATGGTGATGGTGGTGCTGATGTTGATGCTGATGGTGGTACAAATGCTGATGCTGATGGTACTGATGGTGATAGTGGTGCTGATGCTGATGGTGATGCTGATGCTGGTGCTGATGGTGATACTGATATTGATGCTGATGGTGATACTGAAGCTGATGGTGACATTGGTGCTGATGGTGGTCCTGATGGTGAATGGTGGTGCTGATGTTGATAATGTGGTGATGCTGATGGTGATACTGATATTGATGCTGATGGTGATATAGAAGCTGATGGTGACATTGATGCTGATGGTAGAGCTGATGCTGATGCTGATACTGATACTGATGGAGATGGTTGTGCTGATGGTGGTGCTGATGCTGCTGATGATGATGGTGATGCTGATGGTGGTGCTGATGGTGATACTGATATTGATGCTGATGGTGATACTGAAGCGGATGGTGACTTTGATGCTGATGGTGGTGCTGATGGTGATGCTGATGCTAATCTGATGGTGGTGTTGATGGTGATGACACTGGAGGTGAGGCTGGGGTGGTAAGTCATAAAGGACCCGGACACCAGCAACATCAGTCATCGGGTGGATACCACAGGGTGAATCCTGACAACGACTCGGCACAGAGATCCTGGCATCTATGACGCAGGAGCAGCCAAGCGAGGGAGATGCTGTGCCCCAGGGGATGGTTCAAAGTCCATCTGAGGGAAGGGCCACATGTGACAGGGCCAGCTCGCTGGGCTCAGGCTGGGTGTGGGCTCCGCTTGGGAGGGAGAAGCTTCTGGAACCATGGTGAGGAGGCCCCAGCCTCCATCCCACCTATTGCTCTGTGCCTGTCGGTACAACAGAGAGCCTGGCTTGCCCCACCGGGAGGGCCCTGTGGAGGGGACAGGGCTGGGCTGGCAGGGGCTGAGTCCTTGGCACCCTGAGTGCCTCCTGACGGAAGGGCCCCTCCAGACAGACAGACAGTGGACTCCAGGACCCTCGTCCTGGCCACAAGCCAAGCCCAGGCCTTCCTTAGCCCACACTGTCCAAGTCTCTGAGCATGGGGGGGGGGGGGCGCATCAGCCCCCTTCCACCCCGCCTGCTTCTCTACAGCTTGATGGAGCCCCCCATCCACCCCTGGCTGGAAAGGCGGACATGAGACCTGGAGGCTGGGGGCAGCCAGTGACCACACCCAGCACTGGGCTCAGGAGGCCCCCAGCCGCCCTGATGCTCAGGGTCATGGCACCGCGGGCTGGGCTCAGACCCGCAGAGATGCTCTGGGGGCCCTGCCCCACCGGTCGCCCCCTCCAGGCAGCAATGCCCACACCAGGCTTTCAGGCCCACCTGTCCACGCCCTGTGCCCGGGCTGTGTGACTGTAGCAGGGCTGTGCCCAGAAGCCGCGGCCCCACGGCCTCACCCCCTGCCACTCAAAGTGCCCCTCGGCAGCGGGCAGAGCCCGGACGGAGACACTCGGATCCCAGAAAACCCTCCCAACAACCTGGAGTCTGCAGCCACCCACAACCGGCCGTCACCAGGCCAGGGCACGCAGGGCTTGTCATGATGGTGGCAGGAACTGGGTCTTGGGGGGGGGGGCAGTAACAGGCAGTTGGGGACCAGGAGGGCCCCTCACCGTCCGTGTCCAGGAGGGTGAAGAGAAGGGGGACCACGGGGGTTCACTGCAACCCCATGCTGGGCCTTGGGGAGCAAACTTTGCTCAAAGGTTGGAGGATGAATGTCCAGGGATTGGGGACAGGAAGGTCCACTCCACAGGCCCCACCCAGCCCGCTGTCCGGCCCATGCAGGCTGTGGCCCAGCCATGCTTCCAGGCTGAACTCCAAGGTCCCACAGTTCTGCTCCAGGGTCCAGGACCCTGGACGTTCCCGCGGCAAAGCAATGCCTAGACTGTAGAGCAGAGTCGGACCTGCTGCCCGCCTCAGCCTCAACTGCCTGTGCCCGCCGCGCTCGAGCCAAGCCCTGCCTGAAGTCCTGCGCATCAGGAACGCCAGCTGTTCCTCAGATCACAGCTCCGGGCCTGCCCCCTGCCCCTACCCCCTGCCCTCTGCCAAGACTCTGCCCATTCTGGGAAGGGCAGAATTCCCTGAGCATGAGCACTGCCCACCCGCGGCGACAGGCCCAGGGATGTTGGCACAGTGCTGGCGGCCCAGCAGGGCTGTTCCTGGAGCTGGCAGAGGGGCCATGACATGGCCAGGAGCTTCTGACCCCGTGGCCTGGAGAGAAGCCAGAGGATGGGCAGGAGGGTGAGAGCATGGGCGGAGGGCAGGGGTGGGGGTGGAGGGTGAGAGCATGGGCAGAGGCTTCCTCCTCGAGGTGCCTGGAGCCCTCCCAGCCCCCACCTGCACAGGAGCCCCCTAAGGCTGAGGTCAACGCCCCGAAACAATTACTTCTGGCACTGCCACCCCTGCAGCGGGCAGAGGTGCGGCGTGACCGCTGCCCGTGGCTGTGTATAGGGCACAGCGGGTTCCTCCGACCGTTTCTGTTTGAGCGGAGGGGGTGTGGCAGCCCGAAGTTCCACTGTGCCACGGGGTGCCCGATGGAGCCTGAAGCTTGGCTTGGTGTGTGCGCGCACATGTGTACCCCTGGCTGAGTGCACACACCTGTGTACACACGGTGTAACCCACATGTGCGTGCGGTAGGTGCACACCTCTGTATGCATGTGAGCCTCTCAGTGTGGACACATGCAGATGTCTGTGTGCAAGCATGTGTATCTGTGTTAGTGTGTGTACACTCATGTGCACCTGCATACCTGCGTATGTGTGTGGGCATGTGTCTGTGTGGTTGTAGGTGTCTGCTCTCATGCATGTGTTATGTGTGCTGCTATTGCTATGTGCCTGTGTGTGCATCATCTGTGTGGTGTAGATGCATGATGTGTATAATTACTTGTGAGCTTGTGAGCAAGCGTGTGCGTGCATGTTGCTTGAGGTGAGCACATGGGAGCCTGTGTACATGTGTGTGCACACGTGTGTCTGCATCCACCTTCAGTGCCAGTCTCTGCGGGCCCAGGCAGATTGGCACCTCTCAGAGGCCCGGGCGGGCACTGGGCAGTGCCCTCTCACGCCCCACCGCCCCTCTGCTGGTGATTCACTGACCTTGACAAATGTCGGCCGGAAATAGGCGTGTTCCTGGCTCAGGCTCGCACACCGTGTTCCTGCAAACAGCTGAGCAGCCGCTGCCCTGGGCCCGCCCTGCCCTGACCGCACTGACTGCTTGCTGCAGGCCCTGTGAGGGCCCCTCTGTCCCTTCACCCTGACCGGAAGCTAGGGACACCCTGTGCTGTGACCCTTCAGCCTCGAGCTGTCACCATCCTCACCACCATCCCCCAAAGCAGTGCATGGTCACCGCCACCCACACCGCTGCTGGCCCTGGGGGTCTGTCAGCGCTGCTGTGGGCCAGCCCTGCATGCAGGGCATGAAGACCACCTGACCCTCATGGCAATCTGCCATGGTGGCATGAGCACTCAAGGCCCAGGGCAGGATGCGGGAGGGAGGCAAAGTCCCCGAGGTTGGAGGGCTCAGAGAACTGCAGGCTCTGCTCAGCGCTGTTGCAGGGCCCATGGGGGTGGGGGGCCGGGACACGGAGGGAAATGGATGGATGAATGGATGAGAAGAAGGATGGATGGATGGACAAGACTGCTGGGGGGGGGGCTGTGGGGGCAGCTGTTTGGGACCCTGGACCCTGGATCATGTTCTGCCGGTGGCTCTGGAGCCAGCACGTCTGGCG